CTAGATCTCTGTGACCCAGTTTTTATTGCAGAAGAGCCTTTGGGAATCTTACTCTCATTCTTTTAATATTATTCGGCCACTTCGTCTAATTCTTTTACCTACCTCTCTTATATTTGTTATATTGAGTCTCACAGGCACTTTGGTTTTCTTGGAGATTTTCATATTATAAGTCTCTACTATTTTGTTTTTAAATTCATGGACAGTAATTTGCAGTTTATTTTCTGATTGCCAATATTGTGAAGTAGCCGCCTGCAAAACTACTGCTTAACAAAATAACACACATTGGTTTTCCAAACATGCATGCTGTCTAAGAACTACTTTCTTATAACACTGCAATAAATTAAATTTTTAACAAAAAACGTCTTCATGAATACTGCAATATCATAATATAATATATATTCAGTCCAACATTCCTTTACATACAAAGAATATCAAAAAAGTTGCTGATCCATAATACAACACATAAATAGTAAATATTTAATGGCGGGCAGTCTCTACCTTAGATCCTTGCTGTTTTGTGCCATCAGCTACATCATAAGCAGTGAAAAAACAAATTATTGAGATCATGTACTGGCACAATATTAGTACCCAGGTGTCCAGTACTTTGGTTTCCTTTTATAAAGCATAATTTGATATTTAATACATATTTTAGAGATGAATACATACTGCACTTGTACACATTGTAAGAACAGAAGTCGAGGTATCATTAGTTATTGTTAATTTGTACACATTTAATTAAAATAAATTGAAGTTGATAAATGGTTAAAAAAAGTGTCTCAAAAAAATTAAGCAGAAAAGGTCTGAAGTTTCTGTTTGTTAGTCAGCCCTATAGATTGTTTTATGTTTTTGTTTTTCATTTCAGACACGTCAGCAGTTAGCAGAACAATTAGCTGTAAGTCGTGATCTCACTAAAAAACTGAAGGTTGGCGATAGTAGTGAAGATGAGGAAACTACAAAGGAGCCCATGAAAGCAATACCTGGGGATGAAGATAATCCTTGGATTACTGTAAAAACCTCATCAGAAATTGATGACTTTCTGAGTGGGTACCGAAAGTATTGGGATGAACGTAACAAAAATGCTGAAACAAAGGAAAATGCTGAAGATAAAGAAAGTGACAAGAATAAAAGAGTGAAAAAGAAAGAGGAAGATGCAATTGATCATTCCAATGAGAATGAAAGGATGGATCAACTGTCAAAGGCACAGGTAGGTGATGGTGTGGACGAATGTGAAGAAACAATTTGTCATGAAAGCCTGCAGGCAGAGGAAGGGAGTGAAATTGAGAGTAATGATGAGGGACATTCAATAAACAATACATTGACAGTAAACAAACATGAGAATGAGTTTCGCAGCTCAGAAGAAATAGATACGACCGATAAAGAATATGAAAATGGCAAATACGAAGATAACGAGGAAGTCAGTTCTAAGGACACAGATGATAACATGTACACTAGTACAGTTCAAATAAAAAATGGTTCTGTTGTGAAAACAAAACTTGGTAGAAAATCAAAACGAAAGAAAATTCCTAAATATGAAGTGAAAGCTACTTGTCAGTCATGGATCATTACACCCATTTCTAATTCAGAGAAATGTGTTTCTACTGAAAAACAGGGAGCTGAGATACTGGAAGCTGAAACATCTAAAATTCGAACATCAGATGAAAGAGTTAAAGCTTTCCTCGCTTCAGTCTTACCAGAGACCTTAGAAAATGAAGAGAAGAAGAAAAAGAAAAGAAAATCGACTTTGGACAAAATGTTTGATGAAGTGGAAAACAATATTTCCACAAACTTCGAAGACAGGTTCAAGAAACTAAAATCCCACTTTGGTTCAGAAGTTAAAATTGATCAACGAATGCGCATGATGGGCTCTGGAGGCCGTGAGGAGGAGGAGAACGACCTGGGCGCTTCTCTTGCTGTGAAAAGCATGAAGGAGGCCCGTCCCCAGGAGGACGTGGAACTCCTTGAAGGAGCTGTAGAGACATCTGGAGCAACCACAGACATAGAGAAACTCAAAAAGACAGCATCAGGCATAAACTCTGCCACATTCTCGGGTGTTTCCAATGGTGGCAGTGGTGGCAGTAAAGGCAGCGGCAGAGTGAGTGGAAACAGTAATGCTCCAGCAGGTATGTTTTATTTCTTTCATTTTGTTTCATCTAATTTAATCAAATAGCATGGATGAAACCTAGGCTTTTCATAAAATGTGTATTATACATTCAACAGGGAATTTCAAAACAACAAAGTACAGTGGTAGGGTTTCATCATTAGAATCAATACCCTGCTTAGGAACAATGTCAGTGAACAGGGTTGCCATTGTTTTTGTTTGAAGTGTTGCTGCTTTTGGCATCTTCATAATGGTCTTCCACTGTCTCTTTTGCATACTGGTCTATAATATTGAATCGTGTATTTGAACTATTTCCTCTATTTCTGCTGATATTATTTTATTTCTTCTGCCATGTTTATGGTTTTCAGCTGTTCTCTGATCTTTGATTACCATATACCGAATTGCATATCACCTAAAAATAAATGTATTTTGTTTATGTTGCATAAAAATAAATATCGTGACGAAAATATTAATACATATTTCACTCAATTTTATACCAAAAATAAATATCTTAAGTATTTCCAAGTTTAATATATACACATATATTTCATTTGGGAAATAAATGAATATTTTAAGTCTGAGCACTAGTCAACATTATTCTCATTCATTTTCAAGAAGTTTTAAGGCATGTATTCAAATTCTTGTGAGACGAATGGATGGGAAGATTTGGTGTGCTGTTTCTAATTTTTGACTTCTCTACATAGTATACTAGAGAAAGTTTAGTAATAATGTAGTGAATAACAGCAAATTTTTAGCAGAACAATCCATATTGAAAGTCTCCCAATTCCAAAAAAGACAATTCTTATTCCTTCATGAAGTCAAGTACTTCCTTTAACTCGTTGTCAAGTCAGAATCCATTTTCTTAAAAGGGTTCTTAACACTCAAAAACTGGTTTATGGCAAAATGTCTGTCCATTTGTCTGTGAACAGCTAAACTGTAAGTAGAATTTTCACCAAAATTGACTTTTCCCAAACAATCAAGCTGATATCAAAGCACTTTGAATTTGTATATTTTGATTTGTGGAACATATATTTTAATTTGTGCAAGAACTTTATATAAAGACTCAAGAACCTTTTAAAATTTTTCCCAAAAATGGCTCCAAATTTCTGTAGTATTTTTTTATTGGATAGGACAAAGTATGTCTATAAAAATGATGCATGCTCGATTTTCATAAATTTTTCTATTTTTGAAAATTACAAAAGCTTAAAAATTTTTTGGTGACTTCATACAAATACAATATTGAAAGTAAAATATATTTTTCTGAATGAAATAATTTGTATGTCTATAACTTATGTAACCTAATTGCTGAAGCCATTTTTTAAAAACAGTTATTTGCGTCATTGTTTTTAAATTATTACTTCAGTTTATTACACCATTTTTGAATTTGCTTTTAATAATACAAAACCTTTCTTTAAAATAAGTTAATTTTTTCATAGTGTGAATTCACTGTGCTATTGGTTTCAAAATTTGAACATTGATGAGGTCGTGTACACTTTTTCAAAATATAAGTATTTTTCACATAATTTTGTGTGAAATATAGATAATTTAAAAATAAGATTTTTTCAAAAATTAGTTCAAATTTTTTCTTTAAACTTTTTGTGCACATTGTGCTAAATATATTAAATAACATAGCATAAATGCAATTTTGATGCATTATTTTCCATTTTCAAATTAAACAAATTTTTGAGATATATTTCTCACATATTTATATTACGGGTGTTTTTTATACATAATTGCGTTTGTGAATGAAAGTGCTTCAAATAAGTATGAAGTTTCTCAGAATCTCAAAAGTTTTCTGTAAATATGAGCTCAAAATTGCCTTTCATTATCATCAAATCTCATCAAAATTTTCAGAAATTCACAAAGGACCTTTTCTCAATTACAGCTTAAAGTTTTTTGATGATTTGCTTCAAGGTTTTACTCCTCTATGATATTCTTAGTCATATTTCAAGTCTTCAATTAAGGGACCCAACATTTGAGAAAATATGAAACCATTTAGGCGCTGAAAAGTAGCAGCTGGGAAGAGGGCGGGGCAATACCAAACAGTTAGCTTAGTCTAAAGAGATTCAAAAACTAACTAGTGTGAGATAGTCTGTGCCATTCTGTAGCACCACTAGTTTTGTTTTGCCTTTCAGTGTCACAGTATTTGTCATTCATGAACAGTTGAATGTAACATATTATACTTTGACTTTTCAAAGAATTAACTGCCACAAAATAAGCTCCTAATTTTTACTTAAAACGTTTTGCAAAGATAGAACACAATACAATGAATTCTGTGGCACTTTCATTAAAGCATTTATTGAAACAAAAATTAAAGAAAATTTTTATGGTCTGTGTGAGACTATAAATTATCCAATGGTTCTAGTGGTGTAATGATTTCCAGATAATTCCCAGTCAGAGCTAAACGTTTTGCAGGTTGCATAGACTTGTAGAGGTATGTGTTGGGGTACTGAGGCCATTCCGAAGTGAACTAGCCACTGCTGTGTGAAAACATGTGCAATTGAGTTCAAGTGTTCTAAATTTTTTCATGCATTTGGCTAATATAATAATATTCTTTAACTAATACTATTAAGTATGTATGCTATTGCAGCTCCACTAGTTTTCAAAAATTATAGATTATTAAAGTATACTACAAGTATTACAGCTATAATATAATTTGTTTGTGTAATCTAATTGCTGAAGCCATTAAAAAAATTTTAAAAAAACAATTATTTTTGGCATTTTTTTTTTAAATACTACTTCAATTTATTACATTTATTTTTTTAATATTAAAAAACCTTTCTTTAAAATAAGTTAATTTTTTTCATAATGTAAATTCACCAGGCTAGAATGCAACTTTTTGTAAAATTATTTATCACCATGATTTATTGCTCTTCAGGTGCCAATTCTAAATCTGCAGAAAAGAATATCAATCCTGAGAAGTTCATAGCTGCTAAACCAAAAGTGCTTCTGACAGCAGCTCCAGAGCTAACAAATGCTGGTGAAGAAGCATTGGATGATGAGATGGAAGAAGATCAGCAAAAAATCATCACTGAAGCATTTGCTGATGATAATGTAGTGGATGATTTTGAGTAAGTATTGACTGTTTTGATAATACACTGCAACAATTCTTACTACTAGCAAATACTCTTAATAGTTGTATTGCGTACATATAAAAATTTCCATCTTCCATTAGAAAAAAAATATCACATGCAGAAATTAATAACTAAATTCTGCTGGTGAGTTTATATCAATACATCACTGAATTCAACAATACTCTACAGAAATATTTTTTATCAGGAAATGGGGTATGCTACAGACTGAATGGGCAAATGTTAAATACCTAATGAGTGTTGTTTCTTACCCACAAAACTATATAAATAATAAAAGTTTGTTAGAAGTATAGGGTTGAAATTTAAAAACCCATATAAAAGGGCTTTTTATGAAGTTGAACGTACCTTTGATTTGCTTTCAATTTCCTTCTAGTAGTGCCTAAAGATATGTTTACATATTACTATATATTAACAAAAATGGTACAAAACATTAAGGAAAAACAAACTTAAAGAAGTGCTTTTCTCTTTCATTTTCTATTTACTTTCAAGTATTACAAATGGTTCACTTAAAAATCAAATTAGTTTTGTAATGTAAAAAATTGATTTTATGTAACAGCACATTCTGTGTATTGTTGTGTGTGTGTATGTGTTTTAATTTTAATAAATCATTAGTTGGACTAGTGGATTAGTTGGACTTACTAAAACTAAATAGTTTTAGTAAGTATAGCCATTCAACCATTAGTATAGCCAACTCAAGTAATAGTTTTAGATAATAATAATAATAGTTTTAGTAACTATTGCTAACCCAACCAAAGCTAAAAGAAATACATAATAACCAAACATTATTGGACACCTTACGTGTCAACTAATCTCTGATAATAATGTTTATTCTAGCTTTGATTATGCAATGACTTATGGAGTGTTATTAATGGTAGGTTGGCATCCATTCTCAAGTGGATTCATTTTAAAATATTTTTTTAAATCATAGTTCTCATATATTTTCAAAGAACAAAAATCTGTTTTTAAAAAATTCAATTCAGATGTTAAGACATTCATTTTTCAAGAAATTAATCTACTTGGCCTAAATGTTGACTTTAATGCTTCTAGCATTCCTTTCATGTAGCAACTGTTATTAGACTCCATGTTAATCCCCGACCAAGTTGGCTCAGTGCCAAGAGGAGATGCGTGCCCTTTGATCCTTTTGACACCAATGACACATCCTTCCTGTCTTCTGTTTCTGAGGGCTGATAAGTGCCACTTTACTGACTGCAACCATGCTTAGTATTTCATTCATCACAAATCTATTAATTTCTAATGTAATTTCAGTCATTGTTACTAAAAATATTGCGTATCAACTAAGAACCAAAAACAAGATGAAATGTATGAACAGGCATCTTTCAAATTTGTTAACTTTGTATTATATAATATAATATTAATAAACAATGCATTATCAACATCTAAGTTGTGTTGTGACCAAGACTGGAAAACACAATGATGGAAGGGGAATAATGAGAACTACTTGAAGATGAAGAATGATAATTTCTTGAAATCTTCCTGTCATTAGCATGTATCTTGGCATATGTTACTCTGTTAATTATAGTCTGCTTATTGTTTCCTTATCACAAAAATAGACAAGAGAAAATGAAGATGTTATTGCCTTTAGCAACCTTAGTGGTTGTTCCCTTATCAATAGAGGTTTTATCTCAAAACTAATACATTAGTCCGTAAATTCCAATAGGATGTCACAACAAACAAATAGCTTGATTATCTCAGTTTAGTGATACCCTATATTTCTGGAAGACCATCAATTGTCAAAAGAACTTTAAAAAAGAAAAAATAATTAGCTTTCATTTAGTTACAATGAGGGATGACCACGAAAAGCATTTCAGTTCAGAAGCAGATTAAAGTTCCAATTTCATTGTATTTGCCATGACCTACTGTCTGTAGTAAAAAGTAAATACTTTTGTATTGACCCTGTGCACACAAATGAAGAAAATTCAAATAGAAATAATGGTAAATATTTGTTCTGGAAAAACATAGTCAAAACATTTGACCATATGAGTATCCTATAGACTTCACATTTATTCTTATCTTACCCAGAAACCTATGAATGCAACAAGATCCATTATTTTAACTTTTTGATTCAATTAATGAGATTTTTTTATGAATGGTTCATGCATTATTTGTATTATGCTAATTTTATGAATTTATTATTACCAGCTAATTGTAAATTTTCTTCAATTTTTTGCTTTAGTTATTTTCAATAGAAAGTAATTTTGCATGTAAATGTTATTGCAGGAAAGAAAAGGAGGCAGATATTAAGAAATCTCAACCCGGTGAAATTGATCTTTCATTGCCAGGATGGGGTGAATGGGGAGGGGCAGGTATTGTTGCAAAGAAAAAGAAAAGTAGATTTGTCATCAAGCCGCCTCCTGCTCCTCCCAGGAAAGATGCTGATAAGTTAAATGTTATTATAAATGAAGAGAAAGCAGAGGGAATTCGGGAACATCAGGTATGCACATTTTCTTGTTTAGTACAGAAATTAACTAAAATTAATGCATTTCTATAATATGTACATAAAATGTTTGGATTCTATTAATGTTCTTGAGTAACTATATTAGCAATTGTAGATATTTGCATTTGATTTATTGCAAATGTTCAAAATATGTTGTTTTTTTATTTAGATATGGGAGATACCTGCACCTTTCAGATCAGTAAAAGATTTTGAAGCAAGCATCAGAGCTCCTGTTGGTAGGACATGGGTTCCTGAAACTGCACATAAAAGAATAATTGCACCTACTGTAGTTACAAAGAGTGGAGTAATCATTAAACCAATGAGTGAGGAATTTCTTGTAAATAAAAAAGCATTGTTGGATTTTGCTGAGTGATTGTATAAGTATTAAATTTGTTATGTGTAATAAACATGATTTATTATTAAACTTGTTTTTGTTTTTTAATTTTCTATCCACAAAAAGTGTCATTGTAATATTCATCAAAATTACATATAAGTACCTACCTAACTAAATGAGAGAATCTATTCAATGCCCCCTTTGCCCTCTTATGAAAATTGCTCAGTCACTTGTTCTGCAAGAAAATTACTATGGTGTGAGAATTACTCATGTGAATGTACTAACATTAAAATGTTCATTTGTGTTTACAAGACGAATTTTCTCAAAGGGTGGATATTCTTCGCCGAGAATTAAAAGGAATCATAAATTCAGGCTTTCGAGGATGGCAGTAAGTTCTCTGTGAGCTATTTTAACCCAAAACGAAATGCAGCATTGTAATCCAGTGACCTACCGGGCAAGAGAAGGAAAGCATTCCCGTAAGCTTCCGCAAAGACATCGAAACGAAAAAAAAAGGAGGGCATGAATAGCTGCTGTATTTTTGGCCCTACCTCGTAGATCCGACCACGTGGGCCGCCCTGTTTCACAAGCACAGATGAATAATGAAAAAGTACCAAAAATAGTGAATTGATTTCCTTCTCAAAAATCGGATTTTCTAGATAAAATACTAGTTTGGATGAATTGTTCTGGTTTTCGAGGACGTCTTGAATTGTCAAGTTCGGTGACGAGTGCGCATGTGCCAAGCTGAACAGAGGCGCGCACTCGGCCAGCGCATGACTTCGGCTGCGCATCGCGAGTCGTTCTTTTACTCTCATTCATTTCAGGGTGGCCTGCTGCGGCGCAAGGATGGCGGAGCCGGAAGGCAATAGTAGTGTGCAGTTTTTTGAAGGTGTCGAGAAACTGCTGGAGATATGGTTCGCAAGAACCGATGGGAATACAAATCAGTGCGATTTACGGAATATACCGAGGTAAATCTCAACTTTATTTGCGTACATATATATTTATCAATTCCTCTTGCCACCCCTGGCGCAATACTAAAATGGAGGATCCCGGTGTTCGCATGACCGTAAAGTAATCGATTTAAATCAAAATTTTAGTTTTTCGTCTTTAAACGACGTGCAATTATTCTATATTGTTATTCCATTGAAAAGTGCAGCTTCTACTGACAATGAAATTGTCAGATGTCACTTTGTACAAGATTTGTGCTAATGCCGGGTTAAGACTGCCTGAGGCAAGGTGGCAACCGCAGAATCGTTCTCTAGCAGGTTTCTCTTGCAAAAAAACTAACCGATGCCCTTTTGAGTTTTCCTGTTCGATTCTTGCCTTATGTTCTAAGAAATTCGAATGTTTCGTACAGGAACAATTGGAGACGTTTGGTTCGATTTAAAATGCATTTATGCAGAAAAAATAAGTGTAAAAAAAATCCGAAATAAAAAAAATCAATTTTGATGGAAGTGCTTGCATATATTTTAGGAGAAAATTATTTTAAGGTCATCAAAGTCGATATCAATTTTCACTTTAACTATGAAGAAAAAAACTATTGGGAGCTCAATACCTTGTGAATCTTTTAATTGCTGAAAAACAATCCCTATATTAATATAAGTCAACTGGATCTTCTTTCTCTTACAGCTATTAGTAGGGTAACCTTGGAACATTTTAAAAATATCACTCTTCCGTTTCCATTCTTTGCCATGTTTGTTATTGAATCTGTAAATATTTCAGGTGTGATATCACATTTTTAATTTTGATTGCAGGCAGAAGCTTGAAAATCTTCTGAAAATTGTTCGCTGTGAAGTAATTAGTTTCATGAGTAATGATAATATTGATGCTTACGTTCTCAGGCAAGTTATTAAATGGCATGTAGCTAATGTATCATAGTTAATGCTGATTCAAATTTGACATGTAATTTATATTTTGTGTTAATCTTTGCAGTGAAAGCAGTATGTTTGTGGCTCAAAGACGTTTTATTTTAAAGACATGTGGCACTACAACTCCATTGCAATGCCTCAAACCATTATTGGTTCTGGTTCAGCAGTATGCAGGATTTGATGATGTAGAAGTAAGATATTTGACAGGTTATATTTAATTGTTAAAATGTTTAATTTGAATTCTTATGATACATTGTGTGTTACTTTCCAGGATGTATTTTATTCTCGTAAGAATTTCAAGAGACCTGATCTACAAATGAGTCCACATCAGGCATTTGAACAAGAAGTTGCTTTGTTGGATACGTTTTTTGAAAGTAAGTGGTGATTAATAACGGTTAGGACATATTAACTGTAGGTTAATAATTTTTCACTGTTTGAGATCTATGGTAATTTTACAGATGGATCAGCATATTGTATGGGAGCAATGAATCGTGATTGTTGGTATTTGTACACACTGAATCCACTGTCAGGAGAAAATAATAAAAAGCTGCATGGAGGTATCACAGAGCCTGATCAGACATTGGAGATTTTGATGACAGAACTTGATCCTGAGGTGATGAGTATGTTCACACGTGAGGAGTGTGCGACCGCAGCAGAGGCTACCCAGGTATGTGAAGAGACTTGTTTGTGCTCCAGTGACTACTATGTGAACCCAGGCCTTGCTGGGTGGTTAACCCTGACTTAGTCATTCTTGGCCTCTGAATTGTATTATTTTCTTTTCAATTGCTCTGCATTTTCTATGTGCCCCTTCTACCCCTAGGAAAGAAGTTTTGCCGTTTCTTGATTTTGTATGGTGGTTTTGGTGTTCGAAATAAATGTTTCAATGCTTTAAAATTCTTCAGTGCTTTATGTAGTTTGTTTTGGATCCTGCAGTTCATTTTTTGCAAAAGAAACTGCATTGGACTCTGGAGTAGTACTTGCTTTCGATTGCATTCGATTTACATCGCATATATATTTTTATTATTAGTGTTGTCAAGGAATTGATACCATCCATACCAAGGTGATGGAGCAATTTTTTCCAGGGGCTGATCGTCTGAAGGTCTGTGGGGTGTCCTCATTAAGAGAACAGAACTTTCTTCATATAAATAAGTTTTGGGCCTTCCCCAGTCCACAATTTTTTATTTACTAGATTATGAATAAAAATAAATTAGATACTGAAAAATAATTTTTTTTACAGCAATAGAAAGGGTAACTGACTTTCAGTAGTGGTTTTTGTTTTCTTTCTGAAGAGAAAGCTCTGTTTTCTAAGTATGGGCACACTATAGGAGGGGCGGCCGATTTTCGGCTCTCATAGAAGTACGATTGTTTAAAGTGAAAAGTGTTTATAAATGAGTAGTAGAAAGTGACTGCTGGTGGGTGGGCGCGCCATTGCCTGACCCTCCAGGCCAATGGGGTTTGCGCCCTCTGGGACTGGGGAGCCTTCAGAGCCTGCGGGGGGGCAGTGGTGACCGGCCCGGGTCAGTCACGTTAAAAGCAGCCAGGTGGAGGGGTGGCCTCTCGGCTGAGCCAGTTGACTCAATGGCTCTAATTTTGCAGTAGCCCAGTGTTTGGAGGTGCGACCCGCGTCGGCCCCCGAGGCTCTTGCGCACGGCCATGGACAGCCCTCCCTGCTTACCGCAAGGAAAAGGGTAACTTTTGTTGCTTTCGACTTACCTACAGAGTTTCTTTTCAAAGGTGATTAATGTCAAAACAACACTTGTCTGGTTATGAAATCTGGCTTGGCCTTGTGCTTTCTCTATTCAATGCTCGATGTGATTTTTCTGCTATGCTCTGGTTGTAGCCCCCTGGGGCACATCTCGACTCTAATGAAAGTTCTCAAGCTGTCAGTTGGATAAGGATGATAAAATTCTCCAGGTTTGAACACTGTTGTGGTAGGTTTCTTTTGCCCATATATGTATTATTTGAATTATAATTGGTGTTGGTGAGGGGGGTTAAAAAGAGCAAAAAATTAAAAGGGAAATGCAAAACCAGAAATGCAAGGAAGCATCGAGTTGATTGAGGTTTCACTTAAACAACTTGATTTGGCTTTGCATTACTTGTCAAAATTATTTTGAATTGCAAATCGTTTTTCTTTTTACAGAAATCTGGTATTGAAAAATTGATTCCAAATATGGAGGTTGATGATTTTTTGTTTGATCCCTGTGGATATTCCATGAATGGGATTATGAAAAACGTGAGTGGACTTTCAGATATCTAACCCTCTTTATATAAATTTCTTTTCATCTCTGTTGATCATGTGTTTTTACTTTTTGACTTTGCTAATTTTATTTCTCTTTTTAGGGTTGTTACATGACAATTCATATTACTCCCGAGCCAGAATTTTCTTACGTCAGCTTTGAAACAAATGTGCCACAAACTTCATACAAAGATGTGATCTCACGGGTATTGGAGACATTCCAGCCAGGAAAATTTGTGTTGACAGTATTTGCTAATCAGGTAGGTCTTTGAGCATTGTAGTTTTCCTATGTCTGAGTGTTTTCCTTTGTGAATATTATGTGAATTCTGTGTTTATGCAGACGTCCTCCGCATCGCAAACGCCAAGGGAGTTGCTGAAAACCTCTTCCTTCAGTGAGTGGATGCGCCGTGACATTCAGTTCTGTCGGTTTAAGAACTACGATCTCACGTATGCCTTCTACTCGAAGTTTCCGAGCTGAGGGTCCGCGGAGGCCCGAAGCGCACCTGGAAGCTCTCTAGGTGTTGCTCGGCGCCTTTTGGGGCCCTCCCCTGCCCCCCAACCCCTCTCCCCACCCCCTGCTAGTGTTAGTTTTAAGAAATATAACAGTGTTTGTTGTTACCCTCTCCAGTGCTTCTTTATTGTTAAATTTAGTGTAACTACTCATGACTTGGTACAGAATGTGTGGTGTCGCTGTCTTGCCATGTGGCAGGCAGGCCTGGCATTGGTATCCCATATGTTTCTGTGTAGTTGTTGGCACTGTCTGCACCTGCCTCCCTTCACTCTCGCTCCCGCACTCTCCTCCCTTTTCCTTGCCGCCATCAGTCCAAACCTTGTGTACATGTGGTGGCGCAACAAGATATCTTGAGCAGTGAGCCCTGGTATCTCCCCTAAAGTGGCGTGAATTTGCAGAGAGCCGTGAGCCTCACCTATGAGGGTGACACGGTAGCCCACCTGGTTGGCCTTGCATTGTGACCCGTTCCTTTGTTTGCCGTTTTGTTTTTGTGGGCTGGTAAAGGAAGTAGTGGATGTTGAGTTGCATCCAGTTGGTGTCCTTTACATCTTGACAAGTTTGTTGCATTACATGTTGGTTTTTTGTTTGTGCCAAACTTGTGTTTTATAGTGCTGTAAAGAAAAGGAATTTTTTATTGTCCTGTGAGGAATAGTGGTTTGTGAAAGATCTCCACAGGCTATTTCATTGTACTTACGCAATTCTGTTCATAGTTTTATTTCTTGTATTGGCTGCTGAAGTCAGTCTTATGGGCAGTTTTTGTGGGGTACCAAGCAATTTAATTTTACAAACTAGTTCTGATTCCCAAGAACTGAATAGTATAGACTTAGATATTTTTTATACACTTCGGTCTGTCTTTGGTTAGGTTTATTTTATAGGATCTATTGAGAGCGATAAAGAGTGTAAGATGGGTAATGTTTAATCAGTGTTGTGCAAGTAAGACAATTGATATTATGTGAATATTGCATTCCTTGTGTGTGTTATAGCTTGCATTGGATTAACACTACAGTTTTGGTCAACACAGTTGGAAAAAATTTTGTTTTCTATAAAACTAGAAGGGATTCTTAATTTCTAGTTGCAGTTTCACAAAATTTTAGTGATTTCCTTGATTATCTAAGGACTTTCGCCCCATTGAATTTTAGAAGTTATGGAAAATGCAAATATTTTCATTTCTGAGAATATCCTTTAAAATGCTTGGCATGTGCATTATGGTGAGCATGTAATTCGATTTTAATTGTTTGTGTGTTTTTGTTGGAAATTTTGAGGTTGGCATCATGAATTCACAATCTTAATTTTTGTCTTGAAATACCGTCCAACATGTTGACAAAAGCAGTGGTGTAGATATTGCTAATGGGCATACAGAGACTAAATACCATTAAATATAGAAAGGTGTCATATTGCCCAATATTTAATGGTATTGTTTGAAGGTCCTCATGTTGTTTAAAGTAAAATTTAATTGAAGGAAATCATATGAATATCAATTGCAGTGGAATGATGTAAACTATTTGGAGATCCCATTTAATTATTGTATTGGGAATTTGTAATTTTTCTCATGGTGGAAGTGCAAAGTACATTGATCACCACTATTGCAAGAACCTTCATGTTTGGCCTTATAGAGCCTACTTTTAAATAATTTTAAGCTTTTGGTTTTAAGAGGGACATAGTTAGATTTGCCATTTGGACAAGTGGGTGAGGCAAATGGGGTAACAAATTGTGTTTGAAATGTGTTTGTGGATAGGGGGACTTAATTTTCTAGTTTACTTCTCAAGGCGACTAACAGTTTTGCAGTTCTACCAGTGGGTGCCACGCGTCTCTCTCATTGGCTAGCTGAGGTGCCCTTCACTCTCAAGACCTCATCTGCGGTCTCTTAAGTGTGAATTATGTAGAGCGTGTCCACATTGTAATGGTAGCGTATAAATAATAAATGGTTTGTAAGGTGAACACTTTCTTTTTTCTTTCCCCTCCCTTTATTTCCTTTCCATTATTGAAAAAAAGGTGAGATTGCCAGAGACAATTACGCAAGGAACGTTTTGACACCCATAAAACAGGGTTTACTTGCTGTGGTTGTTCAAGGCACTAGCGTCTCTGACCTGGAGATCATAGGTTTCCAATCCTGAGGGCGGATTTTCAATGTTAGCTAGGTCGAATTCAGCCGCTGCCGTTTTCGGGTATTTTCTAACGGTCGGCTGCTCTGATCAGTAGTTATTCGCCGTGGTTTCTCCGGTGAATGCTGTAGCAATGCCCTAACAAACGAACCGCGCGTGACCTCCCCCCCCCCCCCCGTTCTTGTTACTACTCCACTCCGGAGTGGTCATTTCTGAAACTTTAGTCGGTGGAAAGGAACTTTTTCAAATTCGGCAAATTGAATTAATGCGACTATCTCAAACTCATTCAAGTTTTTATTATTTTCTAAAAACCTAGAATAGCTAGATCTGCCTCAATCTATCAAAGGTGTTCTACTTGCAAGCCCTCAAGGCAGTGGCGGAGCGTGGGTGACAGCCGCCCGGGGCGGAGGAAAATTTCGCCGCCCCCTTGTTTAGGTATTTCAATTTAAAAGACCAAAATATACAAGCTTGAACAGCGTAGCATAAGTCAAACATTACGTATATAAAACGTAAATAAAATATTTAATACATAGGCGAATGTATACGTACACGAACAATACAATTTTCAATAATTTAACAATCACTTCACGTACTTAAGAGCGCTACAATCACAGTTGGGAAAGCACGTACGCTTAAGTTAATGTAAATTGGACTACTGACGACCCATCAATGAAACTAAATTGTCGAAGCGTCACCAGCGAACTTCTCTAAAGGGACTTGACCGTATTGTAATCTAATATTCAGGTGTTTCTTTAAATGATAGTGGTCATTCTAGTTGAATGTTAATCAAACAATCCAAGCACACAATAAAATAAAGGTAATCCCTTCAAGTCAGCGCACAAACGGTGGTGCCAGTCGCTACAATGAGGCGTCACAGAATCAGTAATGTAAGATTCCGTGCTTATTTCAATCGGTCCAAATCGTATTTGCGTCAAAAAATATGAAATGGTTCAAATTTTTTCAAGATATGATTGTTTATTGATAAATTTTGCCACCCCCACTATGCTACGCCACTGTCTGGAGGGCCATGCTTAAAACTAATGTGGTGGAGGCCGTATTTTCATAACTTCGGCGATCCAAACCTGACGCCTGTATTGTTTATGTCGGTAGTTCGTCCAGCTGCTCTGAAAGGGCGGGGGTGGAACCATGCGTGATAACAGATCGTACAGTGCATAATGCAGTGAAACACAGAGTTGATTTCGATTTACTGGGGAAAATTCTTAAATTTAACGTAACCTATTTTTGCATTAAGGAGATGTTTACTCCGGCAGGGTGCGCGCTAGGCGCTCAATGTTCTCGCCCGAAATGGATGCAAGGGATTTCACTAACTTCCAATAACTTTATCTTAACCTTAGGTCTCAATAGTTGGACAACCCTGATCTATAAACTTACAGAGAATGTGACAGCACTAATAAGTCAAAATAGCAAAAATCTGACTTGTGTTGTATCTGAAATAAACCATTCATTTATACGCACCCCACCAAACACATCGGAAGCTCGTCTCAGCTGGGAGGTGCCTCGACATTAGGAGACCGCCTCCAACCGTCGTATTGGTCGACTCTGGATTTCACAAGCCGCAACCTCCAGGAGTATAGCATGCTAAATTATAGTTGTTGCGCCCGGAAACACTAAATAATCAATGAACATAATGTCAAATTTCTTAATATGCTTAAGAGAATCTATGCAATAAACAATTTAAAGTGGCGGACAAAATACTTGCAATTCAGCATTGTTCGCATGGTGAATTCTTTAAAATGTTCTACTCGTCCTGCGAGATTCAAATGAAAAGTTGGTCTACATGGGAAAGTTATAAAGCTATTTCGCGTAATAATATGAAAGAAAATTATTGATGCAGATGCACAGCAGTGATGAATTGAAGATTGTAAACTAATTATTTTAATTCATCTGTCATTGAGGTCTTGTGCCAATGAAATGCCTAGATGGATTTTTTTAAACTTCACTAACGTTTCGTAGTTGAAGTGAATCTAGTTCATCCTACATGATATTAATGTAGAACCAAAGAGTTACTTTGAATTTACGAGATATCCTGTGGACAAGGAACTAAACCAGTTATGCGTTTACGATCGTGAATTATGTATGGAATCATATCAATATAGGAAGTTCATTGTCCCAGAAATACCTCTGGCGAAGTTTTGTCGACGGCCTGAATGGATGTCTATTGTGCTGGATATGTTTATTGCTTTCTCGCACACTGCTTTCTAGTACAAAAAAAGCTACGTAATGCGGCTGCGAAAAAGTGCAATTTGGAAGCGCAATGCGTATTGTAGGTCCCTGATTCCGACGAAGTGAATAAGTTTTATTCCTATAAGTAGTAAACACGCATAGACAATCCATGTTTTGGAGGTCCTTCGCGCTGAGAAATTCGTTTACGTCGAAATGTCCGTTCGTTAGCCCAGAAGCTAAACCATAAGGACTTTCACCAGAATTGATATTCCCCTATCGATCCAGCAGATGTCCGGCCGCTCGACTTCAAAACCGCTTTTTTGGTTTTTGTGGTTTTACATGAAGTCTGAAAACTTTCTCAAAAATGTCTCCCAATTTTTTCTCAGACGCTTACAAAAATGGCAGAGGTCCAATTTTCGTTGAATTTTTTAAATATTAAAAGCTTTTTTTTTTTCGGCGTCTTTTCTATACTACTAAAGACCGATATCTTTCCGCCTTAAAATGCGTTTATAATCTAGTAATAGTTCCGAATTTTGTTAAAATTTTTGACATTCAGAAAATTTCAAAAATCTGTAGTATTCAAAACACTAAGATTTCGTTTAGAAAGAAGTTTAAGCTTTTCACTAAACCAAATTTCGTGATTCTTGCCTTAGATGGACAGTAGTGGGCCCAAGAAGTTTTCTTTTGCTATTATTATCAGCTTTTATTGTATTAACACTAAATTCTAATAAAATAATAAAATTAATAGAATGAATGTTAATCTCCCGTCATATGTTCAATATTTCATTGTTTGCCAAAGGTAATATAGTTAGCTTTCTGAAGTTCGAAGATGCTGAACTCTAGGTCTACAGTGAATAGTGTTTGTATTGTTTCAGAAAGTGTACACTTCTCTTATTTCATTATCTTGACAATACTGAACGATACGAAATAATGTTTTGGAGGTTTTCTGTATAGTGAATGTGTCGAAACTTTTCTGAAGCCATATCCCACACAAAGCTAATTTTTGGCGTGCATCTTTGCTGCTAGACATTTTAAGATATGTCAAAACTTTCTCATCCATATTCATTGTTGTTGCTTGGATGTTTTATGAATAAATTCATTCAACCATAGATTTTTAACTGAGGGCATGCACTTTTTTTTAAAAAAAAAGTAATTGAGTAATAACACTAAGAGATTTCACTATTTTTTTTTTTTTTTTGAATGGACTGAATAACAAGACATAAACGTTATTTTGATGTTTTCTTTTCGTTTTTCAAAAAATCAGTCAAACCTCAAATGGAAAGTACATATAACAAAATTAACACTAAATGACGTTCATTACGTTACGCATTCATAATTCTATCAAATTTTGTCAGCCTTCATGCAATTTGTGGCGTGTATTTTACAAATGTTCATTCCCGCCTGAGGTCTGGGGAAACTCATGTAGTAATCAGACCTTTAGATTGCTAAAAGAAAATTATTCGAATAATGAAAAGATGCCATCCGCGTTACCCTTGCAAGCCTCTCTTCATTGAGGTTGGAATCTTACTACTGCCTTGCCTATATATTTACGAATCTGTAATATTTGTCAATGTCATGTTTACTTAACGGTGGGAATATATTTTCATGCAATACTGATATTTATAATTGCAACACACGTCGTAAAAATCACGTTCAAGTGTCAGTATCAACGGCTCACTATGAGAAATTCACGTACAATACATGTACGTTACTTCACAACACACTGCCAGATGACATTAAACAATTAAAGTCGGTTCACAAATTTAAGTTAAAAGTAAAATCTTTTCTGCTGCATAACTGTTTCTATACAATTAGAGACTATACCACTTATCAAAAAGAAAAATAATGTTCATTTTAACAAAAGTGATGTTATAATGTATTAGTTTACATTTGTATTTTTTTAAGACTTAATATGTTTGTAACAAATAATGTACTTCAGCTTCGGTGTCAATGACCCCCATCTCGATCAGGTTTTGTCCAGTTTCCCTGATCCATTGAGCAAATGCTGAGATGACCCCTTGTTTTGCTTCTGGACGTAAATGTAGCTTCACTATGCGCTCCTTTTGCTTGTAATGGTATGAGTAGCGGTAAGGGCGAGTTGCTTTTTTGTTAGCAATGCAGAAGAATCATACTTGCAAATCGTGTACCGATGCAAATAAGTTTTCTTTCACTCAGAAACAAAAATTACTATTTTTTAAATATTGCTAATCTTGCGATTTTTAAAATTTATTTATATATTCTATTTATTTATATTAAACTTTTACTCACCTTTCCACTATTTATAGTTAAAATTACCGGAAGGGATTCTCGAACTCAAGAAAACGTGCGCAGATAATCTTTTCTCTCCTACGTCACATACAGTTATTACTGTTTTTTTTGACTGAATAAATCTAAATTACACAAATGTATGTTCAAGTTTTAATAGTAGGTAACCGTTACAAATAATGTGAGAAAGAACGTGCTACAGCTCCACCGGTTTCCATTTGATCACTTGCTTTGTAGTTTCTCAGTGGAACTAGTGTATGAAATTGTGGAAGGGGCATGGCACTAATCTCCTTTTGGGGTGTTTTGCAGAGAGATTGAAAATTTATTTTGTTGATTTCGATTCCAGAAGAACGTGAGTCAGTGGATTACTTTAATATATTGGGAGGGGGATGGTGCCATTGG